TGGCATCAGGATTGGAGGAAGAATCATTAACAACCTGAGATACGCTGATGATACAACTTTGCTTGCTGAAAGTGAGGATGACTTGAGGCACTTACTGATGAAAATTAAGAACACAGTCTGCATTATGGATTACATCTCAGTATAAAGAAAACAAAAATCCTCACAAGTGGACCAATAAGCAGCATCACGATAAATGGAGAAAAGATTGAGGTTGTCAAAGAATTCACATTGCTTGGTTCTACAATAGACGCCAATGGAAGCAGCAGTGAGGACATTAGATGACATGTAGCACTGGGCAGGTCGGCTGCGAAGGAACTCTTTCAAGTGCTGAAGAGCAAGGATGTCTCCTTGAGAACTAAAGTGTGCCTGACACAGGCCATGATATTTCCAATGGCCTGGTATGTGTGTGAGAACTGGACAATGAATAAGGAAGACCAAAGAAGAGTTGATGTGTTTGAATTGTGGTGCTGGCAAGGAATTTTGAATGAACTAACAGATCTGTCCTGGAGGAAGTGCAGTTGAAATGCTCCTTGGAAGCAAGAATGGCCAGACTTCATCTCACCTAAAAGACTTCATCTCACCTACTTTGGTAATGTTGTCAGAGGGGACCATTCCCTGGAGAAAGATGTCATGCTTGGTAAGGTGGAGGGTCGATGAAAGAGGGGAAGGCCTTTGATGAGATGGACTGACACGGTGGCTGTGACGATGGGCTCAAGTATAGCAAGGATCATGGAGCTGGTGCGGGATTGGGTGGTGTTTCATTCTGCAGTGCATGGGGTTGCTATGAGTCGGAAACGACTCGACAGCACCTAACAACAATAACAACAACAACAACATCTAAATTGCCAAACAAGATAATAAAAATTAATCTACTTGGTCTAATTGTGGACACTAATTTTCCTAAGAGCAATCTTATGATGTTTTCTTGGAAAGGGGTTTGAGATGGTTCATTTTGTTGCCTCCTCTCTCATGTCTTGTGCCAAACCAGAAGAGAAATTCACTTTGATAATGTCCAACAGCATCTGCTTTATATTTTCAATCTCTACTGGTTATTATTTTCTCCCTTGCTAATTTTTTTTTTTTTTTTTAACAAAAAGATGTTTATTCTCTTACAGTTTTGAAGGATAGAACTCTTAAGTTCTGGGTACCAGCTCAAAAGGGAGGCTTTCTCACTCTCTAGGCTCTGGGGAAAGGTCCTTGTCTCCTTTCAACATCTGTGGGTCTGGCATTCCTTAGAGATCTCCATGTATCTTGGCATCAATCTTCCCCTGGATCTAGGAGGTTCTCTGCACAGGAACCCGGGTCCAAACAACATGCTCTGCTCCCGGCTCTTCTTTCTCTCTCTTTATTTTTAAATCATGATTTGGGTGTCCCTTGCTAATTTTTGCATTACTCTCTGGTCAGACTCAAATATCTACATTTGTCTGCATGTGTAATCTGAGCCTATATACAATTTTGGTTTTATTCTGATTTGTCATTCTCTTTATCCATTTGTTTTATAACTTATTTTTGATGTATTTCTCATTTTTGTTTTTTCTCTTACCATCTCAGCACTCTTTATTCAAAGATATGCCATGGTAACATAGGGACTTATACAGGATAGAAGAATGGAAAGGAGCAATGAGAATGGAGCACAGGTTGCTAATGGTCAGACCTGCCTTCGAGTAGGATCCGACTCATAGCTACCCCTCCTTGGGTTTCCCAGGCAGTATCTCTACAGAAGTAGACTGCCCAATCTTCTTTTTGAGGAGTGGCTGGTGGGTTTGAACTGTCAGCCTTCTGGTTAGGAATCAAATGCCTTAGGCACTATGTCACCAGAGCTCCCAGAAAATTATTAGGGAAGCATAAATTGGAAATGGGCAAGGAAACAAAGAAGCCTTTAAATTGCTCCACCATGTGTACAACTTAGGAAAATGTTCTTTTGGACCATCAAGAGATTGAATCCTTGGATTTGTGTCTTCCATCTCTGAGGAAACCTAGAAACAGAAGGTTAGGTCTTGTAATCACTTTTTCACCTTTATCCCCATGATTGATTCGATCTCAAATCAACCCTGAAGGGAGGTTTTTTTTTTTTTTTTTTTTTTTTCTTATATCCTGTTTCTTAATGTCTGTTTCACCATTAGGAGCTCTGGTGGCCTAGTGCCTAAGGCATTTGACTCCTAACCAGAAGGCTGGCCGTTCAAATCCACCAGCCACTCATAGGAAGGAAGATTGGGGAAATCTACTTCTGCAGAGACACTGCCTCAGAAACAGAAGCAGAAGTTGCTATGAATTGAATTGAATCAACAGCAGTAAGTTTGTAAGTTGTTTTTTGCTTATTTCATAATTAACTATTTTTCTACTTTAGAACCCTTAAATATTCATATATCCAGAGTAGATTTTCTTGTGCAGGTAGGCCATATATTCAAGTGATGAAGAACCACACTTATGACCAATGACCATCTATTCGTTGTTTTTTGTACATGTTATCATTAGTAATATGTAGTACATATCAATATTGCAGGATGTGATTTGCTGATGCTATCATCTTAGATGTAATGTTTCCAAGCCCCAAAGACAAATAAAGATTGGATTCATAAAGATACTGATAATTAAAGGCAATAATAAACAAGATTGAAAAACAAAATAAGAGATTTTGACTTAGGTTGGGACCTACTTAAAATGGAGCAGTAATTAGAATGGAACTCCATGGTAAGTTGGGGACTACCTGTATTCAAGACTACTCACTTGAGAATGTGGTGATGTTTGTGATGTTATAAGAGACAAAGGCTTACATTTTAGAGATTGTATGTTAGGAATAGTAGCTCTGGTAGCGTAGTACCTAAGACACTTGACTGCTAACCAGAAGGTTGGCAGTTCAAACCCACCAGCCACTACTCGGAAGGAAGATGGGGCAATCTACTTCCGTAGTGATACCGCCTTGGAAACCCAAGGAGGGGTCGCTATGAGTCGGGTCTGACTCGATGGCACATAACAGCAACAACAACGTTAGGAATGGTCCCCAAACATAGAAGTCAGGAAACCTGCCTCTGATACTTCACCAGTTCTGGATCCCTTTTGCATAATCAAGAAGATTATGAAATATTACTAGCTTCCAACCAACATAGGCCTTGATGCAATCATTTTTGCAAATAGATTCTAGAGTTTTCCTTTATGAAATCACGTTCTCAATGTTTGTGGGTTTCTGTGTTAATTAGTAGCTAAGCCATGCTCATTCAATCAGACTTCTGCTCACTTGCTAGGATACTGTTAAATATTGGATTAAGCCTTTCAGAAAATCCAATGAAAATTTGGTTAGGGAGCACTTAATTTATTAAAGTCTACAAATACATTTCTTTTAAAGCATATAAAATTTTCCATTTTGCAAGCCAGAATGAATTGGAATCAGAAATCTTATATTAGGAACTGAAGAAATGATTTCAATGTTCTTTTGATCTGAATACTCTATGATTTCTTAATTTCGTCTCCTCCTCTGTTTTTTCTCTTTCCTCCACTTTTTGTTGTTTGAAAAAAATCAGTTTTCATTAATAGTTCATTTTTCTCAATTTCTGGTTTTGGCTTTCCTGGTGTCTTGAAATCACTGGAAACTTTAGTCCAAACCACTTCTTCTTTTGGTTGTACTGGAAGTCTCTTAGCCTCATCAGAGTGTGTAGCAGTTTGTCTCTGTGCTCTGCCCTCTTTGAAAGTCGTATTTCTGTGTAACACCTTCAGGGAGTGAGAGAACAAAGAGGCTCCCGATCCTTTGGAACACAGAGAGCCTACAAAATGGTACAAGAAAGGCACCTTCAGGGTAGAGGTAAGCACTCCTTTCCTACCTTTCCAGAAAGGAAAGTAGGACTGCCTGATGAGATAATAAGAATGATCTGGAGAGAAGAGGTAGGCAATGGACAGAATAAAGGAATAGAGATTGGACCAATATCATACAGTCAAGGAGAATTAAAAGAAATAATGATGTCAAATTGAGATTGAAATTAGTTCTTAAAAGAATTAGAAACAAGCTATTAATACAGAGATATGAGAAGTAGGAGACAAAAGTGATATTTTGAGAAAGACAGTATCAATGGATAGATGTAATATTCAAGAAAGAAGAATAAGGAAATGGAAATTACAGTTGGTTGAGGATGAGTTTTTCCCAGAGTTGTTTTGGACTTCAGGACAATTTCCTAGTCATTTATTCTGAGGTAATTTTTAAGTTCACTTTTTCTTTAAGTTTTTTAATATTATTCAAGGTGGTTTTTTTTTTTTTTTTTGCCTGACTTCTTTGTTGGTCTAAGCTTCTTGGGGACTCTGGCTTCCTGGCCTCTGATAATTGTGTTTGTTTTGCTGATCTGACAGAGCGAGGAGTCTGGTGTTCCCAAGTGAGATTCTGGTCTGTTGCTGCAGTTTCCATCACACTTCTCAGTGCCTGCTTCATTATGAGTTGTGTGGGTAAGTCTTTCACTGAGATGCCATTTCCCTTGAGTCCTTTTCCCTATCATGTGCTATGACATTCCTCTGAAAGTATATGTTCTCCCTTATCCCATAACATGTCAGCTGGGAATGCTATGCTTTCTTAATTTCTTCTCCTTCCTCTTTTTCCTCCATCTTTTGTTGTTTGAATCTGCTTTTATGTTTACTTTACCTGATGTTAGTGGTTTTTCTCAATTATGATCATAACCTCACATATAATTATGTGATAATGGTAGCCATCCTCAAGACACCATCTTCCAGTACTGGGTTCACTAGTGATGATGTGTTCTCTGGTCACAAAAGTCTTCTATTGAGAGTGCAACAATAAATGATTCTATAATTGTAATACTGTAGATTATAGTCTTTGATCTCCAGGTGGGTGTCTTTTCCAGTTTGAGTAGAAAAAGTATTCAAATGAAATAATAGGGATGTAAGGAAACAAAATATTCTTTCCTTCTTTCTTTTGCTTCCCAATATCTCAAATTTATTTTGTGAGAAGTTTCTGTTCTCGAGTCTGCAATTTGATTTTCTAATCACTGTAAAATGATTAAAAATAATTATTTAATAATCTAGAAGGGAATGAAAGTGACTTCCTATATCAAATGAGGCCATGTCAACACTTCCCTATGAGATATAAATACATTTCAGTGTTTAGCAAAACACAAATAATTATCACCAATGTTGAAGTACGTCATACATTTAATAATGGTCATAAGCAAGTGAGAGGGAGTTTAAGGATAGTTATTAACCCAGGAAAGCAGATATTCAGGGCTTCAAAGCATAGACTAAGAGAAAGATAGAAAATGTTGGTAGTTTTGAGGTTCAACAGAAGGACAAGAAAGAAATGAGTGAACAATCAAGTTAAGACCTGAAAGAGAACAGGTCTTGCTCAATGTAGATAGATACTCATGAACAAAAAAAGATAATTTTTATTATGAGACATTTAAGATATCTCTGAATATTTAAAGCTTCCTTTTGGTTGTTATTTTCCCCATATGTGTATCTGTAGCTATCAGCAGTCAGAAATCTTCAGAAAATACAAACTAACCTGTGAGCTTGCTTCAAGGTTATTAAAAATGAAAAAGTGTCAGATAGCTAGAGAGTCAATAAACATGTATGTATTAACAGTCACTGCTCTAGGTCTTTGTGATTAATCGATGCAGAAAATAGAGTCTTTCTCTTAGAATGTTGTGGATCACTGCTACTGAGCTGGCAGATGGGTAGTGGCTGCAGAGGAGGTGTGTCTGTCTGGGAATCAAACTGAAGTCTCTTCTCACGAAGGTGAGAATTCAACCACTAATGACCTCCTTAGAAGATAGAGCTTAAGTTCTAGTGGGAAAGAGCAAAAAATAAATGTGTAGGCATATAAACATATAAACAAACAAATAAGATAAGTGAATACAAGCAAGCAATAATTCGGCACAGTCTTTATTGACCTAGCATAGAGAGAGAAAGAGAGTGAAGGGTTTTGAAGGTAAGTGACCTTGGAGCAAAGCTATAGATCATAAGGTTCTATAGTTAAAAGAATGGATACTGATTCTTCTTCTTCCTTCACAGTGACTTATAATTTTATGCATGGCAAAAATGACAAAAAGCTGTCAGATCTACACATTTATTATTCAAGTCTAACCTGCTTCAGTGAAGGGACAAGGAAGACAGGTAAAGTGTTGGAATATTTAAGTAGACTTTCTCTTTTCTCAGAGAGAGAGATGAGATTGAATTTGAGATTGGTTTATTCTATGTTGTTTCTTTTCTTTTTCTTCTTCTTTTTGAGTAAAACTTCTGCTTGGATGTCTTTTAGATAGCTTTAAACCAGGCTGTACATTGTTCCCCAAACAATTTCTCCTTCAGACTTCTTGATTACAATAAATAGCACCAACACACACACACACACACACACACACACACTTGTCCAAGCCAACTCTGGAAATTATTCAGAACAATTATCTTTTTCATATTATCCTCACCACGTATAAAAAGCATAAAGTCTTATTTTTATGTTTAAAACCTATGCTATGGTTTTCAATTAATAACACCCATCTCCATTTCAAGTATCAACTTTATTATTGCATCTTGGATCATGGTTCAGGATGAAGCAACTCTCACTACAAAATGCAGTTCTGAGAATGGCATATGTAGAGAATTGAATTCAGGATGATAGTCTTGCTCACACTCTGTCTGGTAAAAAAAAGCCAGAGTCAAAACACTTATCTAGTGGCCCTTATTACCTTAATCCTCTTAAAAAAAAAAAAAACAAACCGGTAATCTGAATAGATGTCAGACTCATGCTATCTCAAGAACTAAATAATTTACTCCTCTTTTCTACAGAGGGAGCTCTAGGTGGTGCATTATTTAAGGCATTTGTTTGCTAACCAGAAAACTGGGAGTTCAGACCTACTAGCTGCTCTGTGGAAGACAGATAAGGCAGTCTGCTTCCATGAAGATTTGCAACCTTGGAAACTCATGGCAGGGGGAGGGGGTCTCTGTGGGTCAGAATCAACTCGATAGCAGTGAATTTGGTTTTTGGTTTTTTGTTCATACTGAGAAACCACTGAGAAGTGAAGAGAGAGTAGAAGCTTTTATGTATTTCTATGAACTGTTAGACAGTTCTTTTTGATTTTTATATTAGGCAAGACTATGGTGCATGAATATGGTGGAGAAGAATGTTTTTCTCTGTCCTGACTTTTTTTTTTTTTTTAAATCACATTGGAATTATTTGTTCAATTAATGTGGAGCTGCCCCTTCTAGGCAGGAAAACATGATTTCACTCTGATAGTTTTCCTCCCACCTTTTGGAGACATTTCCCCAATGTTGTTAGGTGCTGTCTTGGCTCCATCTCATAGCGACCCTATGTACAACAGAACAAAACACTGCAGGCCCTGCACTATTCTCATAATCTTTGCTATGCTTAAGCCACTGCATCAGTCTATCTTGTTGAGGTCTTCCCCTTTTTCACTCACTCTCTACTTTAATAACAGTTGTTGTTGTTGTTATGTGCCGTCGAGTTGGCCCGACTCATAGCGACCCCTCCTTGCGTTTCCGAGGCAGTATCACTACGGAAGTAGGATTGCCCAACCTTCCTTCCGAGGAGTGGCTGGTTGGTTTGAACCGCCAGCCTTCTGGTTAGCAGTCAAGTGCCTTAGGCACTATGCTACCAGAGATCCTACTTTAATAACTAGCTTTTTAAAAATATATATCTTCCTGGAAGTAGAGATGGACATTTCAGCCTTTGCCTTCAGAAAGTTCTGAAATGGGACAGAGACGGGTATCAATTAAATTAACTCTAAATCCATATGGCATGAGACTGAAAATTCACTTCCTAAAATATCCAACCCAAAAAGAGTCAACCTAAATATATCCAACCTAAAATTATGCCAACCAGGCTGTTCAATATATCTAATTCAAATTACATATAAACTTACATGATAAAATATTTTCTATAATGCCATGTCAGAAAAAAAAGTGCTCAAATTTTAACAATATCCTTTCAAATTCTTACAATAAAAAGGAGAAAAGTCCAAACACAAAATTTCCATTTTGATTAAAATTAAAAAGTAATTGAAATCTATGAGTTTATCTTCTCTGATTTTTTTCTTACTCAGTCTTAGAGAGTGTTGAGAAGTTCAGATGCATGGATAGAGTCAGCATTCCTTCACACTACATATACCATGTGTTCAAGTAGTTTTGCTTGTCAAACCCCAAAAGAGATTTTGAAAAATTATTTACCCTTTACATAATTTTAATTGATATTTGATTTTTTTCATCATGTTATAGAAGCAAAGTCTTTATTCCTGGATCAGTGCAAACATTGACATTTTAAAAATAAAGCTATTATGTGTCTCTGTTGTAAATTGATCTACTAGTGCCTAAGGCATTTGACTGCTAACCAGAAGGCTGGTGGTTCAAACCCACCAGCCACTCATCGGAAGGAAGGTTGGGCAATCTACTTCCATAGTGATACTGCCTCAGAAACCCAATGAGGGGTCGCTGTGAGTCGGATCTGACTCAACAGTAGTGTGTACTACTATCTAAATACTATTACAATGTGTTACTCACCATCATTCATTAAAAAAAAAAAACATAAAAAAACCTAAATATCATGTATTATTTAATGATGTTTCATGCCATTCTTTTTCCCTGTGAACTAATACTTACTCACTGTTTCCTCTTCTTCCAAAATATGTATAAAACTCAAAACTCACTGCCATGGAGTCAGTTCAGATTCATAGCAACCCCTCCTCGGGTTTCTGAGGCAGTATTTCTGCAGAAGTAGATTGCCTTATTTCTTCTGGATCATTAGGCTTTAAGTGCTGTAACATTTTTCTGGATTGACTTATCATTAAAATTATTATCAGGACCCAGTTATTTAAAAAGTCACAAATTTATTATAAAATTTAATGTATTATTATCACTAAAACTCTAGTGGGAAGCAATCTTTTAATGGAATGAATGATACTGTTTTAAAAATGCAATTAAATGTATTCATTATTGAATAATATTGTTACTAGAATGAGATAGAGTTCAGCATCAATCATCTTCCTATTTTTTAATTTATAGACATAAACTAAGAAATCTTTATTTAAATATGTAGCTGAGAATGGGAGGAGCTTTATTAGAACGTCATCCCATTTTTTGAAGTCTTTCAGAGTTGTTTGCCAAAAATCATATGGCGATATATTTGTAGTGGTGAGAATTTGATTAGATTATTCTTCAATGTTGAAAATAAAGAATAAGAAATAGGATAATTTGCAAAAGGTTTGTTTTTCTTAGTCAATAGTCATCTGCTTTCTCAATCTCTGGGAAGTACACCAAGAAAGATACTATGGCTAATTAAATTCCTGTTAATTACATCTGTTACTTTTACATCCACAAAGCACCATGTTTCATCCATTATTCTCAGAAGAGATTAGGAAAATACTCCAAAGAAAACGAACTCACTGCCTTTGATTCAGTTCCGACTCATAGCAACCCCTCCTTGGGTTTCCGAAGCAGTATCTTTATGGAAGTAGATTGCCCATTCATAAGATATTATTAATGTCATTGCATTATTTTGACAAATGCTTTAAAACATTTTATTGTAGTAAAATATATATAACAAAACATTTGCCTTTTCAGCCATTTTTAAGTGTACATTTTGTAACATTAATTACATTCATGATAGTGTGCGATTCCAAACGTTTTTCATTCAATTCCAAAAGTTGTTCATCACCTCAACAGAAATCCAATGTCCTTTAGGAAATAACTCCCATTCTCTCTTCTCACTTGCCATGGTAACCACTAATAAATTTTTGTCTCTATACTCTATGCATTTGTCTATTCTAGGTATTTTATATGTGAGATAATATGATATTTGTCCTTTTGTGTCAGATATTTCATTCAGCATAATGTTTTCAGGGTTCATCCATGTCACAGCATGTATCAGATGTTTATTTCTTTATGACTGAATAAGATACCACATTTTGTTTACCCATTCATCTATTGATGGACACTTTGATTTTTGACTATTGTGAATAGTGCTGCAATGACCATTGATATATAACTATCTATTCGAGTCCTTGCTTTCAATTCTTTTGGAAATAAATATCCCTAAGAGTGGTATTTCTGGGACATATGGTATTTCTGTATTTAATTTCACTTTTTTTCTATGTTTAACTTCTTGAGGTGAAACCCAACTGTTTTCCACCATTTTACCTTCTCATCACAAGTGCTTTCATTTGAGCACAGCTTTCAATATTTTTCTCAACCATGGAGCTATAGATTTAGCACACTCAAATTATGAGAAAAACTTGCCATACAACCTAATTAGCAAAAGTTACTCTCCACCATCAAAACAGTCAGCAAAATTAGACTTTTAAAATTCCAATAAACATGCTAATATGCATTTTTTGAATATTATGAAAAGCAGTTATGAATAAAGAACACAATGCATAGCCAAGATGTATTTCTAAAAGTAGTTATTTATATATTTCTAAAATAGATCTCGTATATCTATTTTGTTCATTCTATAATATTATAAAAGAGAGAATTAGGAAAATGTGACTACATAAAAAAATGAATTAAACAGATCTACATGGAACAACAT